AGATGCAGCAGCGGTGGCAGGAAACCAAAATCACGGCTTCCAATGGCGGGGGCTCCAGCTTCCACACTGAGGCTTTATCTGTTCCTGTTATAGCATCAGGACTGCATTCCCAGTTGGTTTCTCTCAGCCCCGTTCATTCTTGGGTCAGCAGGGCATATCTCCTCTGGCTTAGGATTTCTCACTCTGCACCATTCCTGGATTCTAAGCTGGGTCTTTCAGAGAGCCTCCATAGCTGCTGCTATCTGTCCGCCATGTTCTCCCGGAAGCTCTCTCAACATATTTTTAAAATGCACTATTTTGTAGCATGCATCAGAAGTGTATTTTCAACTATTGTATAGTATTTTGTGGGATGAATATACCAAAATATGTTTTCCTATTCCCTTATTTATTTGGATTATCTCCGGTTTGGAGATATTCTGATCAAAATTACATGAACATTCTTTTTATAATTTTTAAAATTTTATTTTAAAGAGGATAAGACAGAATAAAACCAATCAAAACAAACCAGTATAAGAGGTACAGAGCTTCAAAGCATTATGAAGTTAACAATAGTTACCACAATGTCTTTTGATGTCTTTGAAATAGCTCCAGATAACTTCAAACATAGTAAAAATCAAACAGAACAGACTAGATTAGAAACTATAAAAAATAAAATAATGAATGCAATAAAGAACTTCAAAATAAGTCAAAATAGTCAATGTAAATCCAAAATTGCTACTATCATATATCTTGCTGTTTTTGAAATAGCTGCTCCTGCCATTAGATTCACGTAATCAAACAAAACAAAAGAGAAGAAAAATCCAACCCAACAAAACACTGGAAATGATACAGAACTTCCAAAACAAGACCATAAAGAATCAACAATGACTGCAACCCTCAGAAGGAGAGCCCCCCTAGATGCCACACTGCATATCACTGTCCTCTGAACCTATGATCAGACCATTGGCTCTAGATCTGCAATGTTAGTGACACACCAAAGCACCACAGGAATCCAAATGCATTTCACCTTGATAGCTATCATCACAGCCTGTGTTTCTCTGGATAAGCCCATCGCTTATGATGTGTGTGTATGGGCTGATTAGTGCTTCTTGTTTGCCGGTCCCTACACTGGAAGGCCTGGGTTCTGGCTCTTCCCAGTCTGGTGGCAGCCCATGCATGGGCTTGCTTCCTGTGTGGCCTTGTTCTCTCTAGCTTCAGTCCTTGAATGGCCCTATGAACATTGTTACACAGGTCTTTTGTAGACACATTTTCATTTCTCTTGTGTAAATACTAATGGGTGAAATTGATGTCTGATTGGGCAGGTGTATATTTGACTTTATAACATGCCACTGAACAGACTTATGAAGTGGCTGTTTCATTTAAATATCCTACCAAGAAGTTATAAGTATTACTTATCTTTACTATCATTGATATTTTATAGAAACCCACTCTAATATATCTTCATCAACTTGCTTGTACTTAATGTTGCATGCATAGCTTTTTCTCCATTCCTTTTTAAAAATCAATGTATTTACACTTCTCTTGTAGACAGAATATGTCAGTCTCATTTTTAAATCCAGTTTGCCATCTCTGCCTTTTAAACAAAGTGTTTAGATAATTTATTTTTGCTATAATTATTTATACAGTTGGACTCAAGTCTATCATCTTCATATATTTTGTCTTGCTTTTGTTTCTGTTCCCCTTTCCTGATCTTTCCCATTAGTTGAAAAGTGTAATTTTAGACGTGTATTTTATCTTTCCTAATTGATTTTAGATTTTGAGGGCTTTTCCCTTAGTATTTACTTTATACATTCTTAATTTATTCATTTTCTACTTTAAAATAAATTTATATGTTCTCTAAGCTGGGCTCAAACTCACTATCCTCCCACCTCAGCCTGGGATTACAGGTGTGTGTCACCATGCTCAAGTACAGTGCTAAATTTATTATTTCACTTTTCCATATACATATTTACTATTTCTTATTATCATAAATTATAGTTGTATATGTAATTTTAGTTGTATATGTAAATTCTATCATATATTGTTATTAATTTTACATTAGTCAATAACCTATAAATTTTTTCATTTATGTTTGCATTTTCAGGCCAGTATTTGTGGGTCAGAGTGTCTTCACTATTTTTTCTTAATTATAGGGCACATTTCACTGTTTCTTGGAGTGTTTGATCACTTTTATTGTATGTGAAGAATAATATTATTTATTTTGTGAAAAACTATAGTACAGTATCAGATATTTTCCCGGGAAAATTCCATATATTTTCCTGTGTTAGTCCTCTGGGATGGCACCTAAATCAAACCTAGTTTGTAGCTGCAACAGATTTGCACTTTTTGAATATTTACTTATGTTCACTTTAATACCAGTCTATATGTGAACAAAGATAAGAATTATGATTCTAGCAGGTCTTAGGATTTCCCCAATGGAGAACTTTGGTGTTTTAAAGAAGGAATCTATGCCGTCAACTTCTGAGGTCACTGAAGAGTCTTTTTCCTCTTCAGAATTATCCGCCATTTGGAACCTTCCTCTCACTTCAGATATTCGGGCCCTTTCACTCAGGGGAGAGTTTGTGCACTTTTTCTTTTTCTTTTTATCGGTACCGGGGATCAAACTCACAACTGCCTGCTTGCAAGGCAGGCGCTTATGCTGCTGAGCTAAATCCCCAGCCCTGAGTTTGTGCACTTTGAAGATTTCTCTGGCTTCTCCTATTCTGCCCTCAGCCTTTGATAAGATGCTGTCATGATCCTTGAATAAGTTAAAATTAATTATAACCTTGCCTTATTTTATTGTGCTTTACTTCTTTGTGCTGCAAAGATATTATGCTCCTTAGAAACTGAAAGTTTATTATTACCCCATCTTGGATGAGTCTATTATAACCCCATCTCCAACAGCTCGAGAGACTGTTAGTAGTAGTTCTCAGCAAAAAAATATTTTAAAATTAAGGTTTGCACTTTTCTAAACATTATGCTACATTGCACACTGGATAGAGTATAGAATGGTACACATTACTTTTATGTGCACTAGGGAACCAAAGAGTTCATGTGACTTGCTTTATTGGGCTATTTGCTTTATTGCAGTTGTCTAGAACTGAACCTGCTATGTTTCCGAAGTATATCTGCATAATTTTTTAAAATAAAAACTCTATCACAGTGCAATAACATCTGTACTTTGCCACATATTGCCTCTACCTTTACTACACACTACACAATTTTGCATGTTATTAATCAATAAAAAACACTTTGCATACTACTTTAAACCAAGGCCAAAATAAAATTCTCAGGTGAGTTATAATATTATGCCAATGCTGAATCCAAATTCATTATAGTCAAAAGGAATGAAATTTGTTAATATTAATAAACATACTTACTGTTGACTACACAAGAACATTTATGATTGATACTGTAGTAATGTGCAATTACCAAAAAAGACATGCTATTTCTTTATCTCCAGTCACGGCCAACATTCCATTATTTGAAAACTCCCACAACCATGTATTGGAGATACCAGAGTATAAGGCTCTTAATTTTTTAAAAGGATGTGATATCTTATTTTTGATACTAAGCACTGGGTGGATATAGAGTAAATAATTTTGAAAGAATAATCAAAATTTATGAATAGCCTTTGATAGATAAAACACAGGTATCTGTGTTAATATAACCAGTCAAGATTCCACTGGCATTACCTACAATAATAAATATTTCTCCAGAAGCCATGAGCAACGTTTATTCGTGGGTCAGATGGCCCATTTGTCCTCACCCACTGACAAGAGAGATTCCATCTTTAAGTTCTTTCAGTTTTCCTAAATGAACCTTGTTCTCCCTGAACCCTAGAAAATGCAGTCCGGGGTGATTCTCCCACAGAGCACTCCAGTCTTGCAAAGCTGTGCCAGATGTAGGGACTCTGCCTGACAGCTGCCCCACCATCTTTCAAACCAGCTGGAACCAGCTGGCAGAGGTATCCAGGAGTAAGATCTGTGTGCTTTCTGACAAGCACCTCCTTGCTCCCACAAGTCCTGCTTGTCCTACTTTGACTCCTTTCTACTGGGGAGTCTTACTCTCCCAGCTACAAGACAGAGAAAGAGAAACGTCTGCTCTCCTGACACCCATTGTCTGGCATGTCACAGTTTTTGCTGTCTTTCACACATGCACAGTTGCTTAGAAGTTCTCGGAACTTTTGCTTGTGCTGCGGTGTTTGCCTGGGATGTCTCTCACATTTCTGCACCCATCACTCTTCTTCCACCAGACTTGACTCTGGGATGTTCCAGGAAGGAGACCCTGACTGATTCATTGTTGTTTCCACTATGCCTGAACATAGTGACTAGCTCAGAGGAGGTGCCAAATAAATATTTACTCAACTAAAGTAAACCGAGACTGATTCACCCCTCTCCTGCTCTGTGTTCTGATATATGATTATGTCTCCTCTTCAGGGTCTTCTGCTTGTCCAAGACTCTGGGGAAGAGAAACTGAGCACACATCACTACTGATTGCCTTTGATTCTTTTACTGCATTTTGGGAAAGACAGGGTCATGGCTCAAAATTCTTGCTTAAAATTAACTTTTTTTCTTACTAATTGAGTGGAATGTGTCTAAGCACAGCCAGTCTTATAATACCAGAAGATAATGAAGTATTTATTTTGTAATTGTCTGACTAATCAGATACTATCCAACGTTAAATTCCATAATAGGCAAAGGCATACCAAAAGACTTAGTTATGAAAAATCTCTAAGATAGAAATTTAATTGAGGTAATTTTGTGCATAATTAATTTTTATTTGTTTGTACTATCCAGGTTTTACCAGGGCTCTATCTTGGGAGACCAATGTTACATAGCAATGACATTTAAGAACTTCTCCAATTAAGCAGAATTGCAATTAAATACATTACCTATCCGCAATAAGCTAATTTAGTTCAAGGAAATGTACAAAAATTTTATTTTGACTAATGATGTAGGCTCATAACCCTCTATTAATCAGAGAAGAGAGTAACCATTTGCCTTCTTTTTCCTTCTTAGGCTGTGAGGTTGAGATTCTTGGTGTCAGACCTACTTATTGCCTAGAATATAAAAATGTCCCAACGGATATCAATTTTGCCAATGCAGTCAGCGACGCTCTTGACTCATTCAAGTAAGTGTCTCAGATTCTTAGCCATCTCACTGTTATTCTTGTTTCAGGACCAATAATGGGTCCTAAGGTGAATCAAGAGGCTCTAATATAGGTGAAATCATGTCTCCAAGCGTTGACATACAGATTGTCAACTGCGGGGAGGAAATGATTATGATTAAGTAATTTTGGGTGAGGAACTCTGGAAATGTTCCATTAAGGGCAAGAAAACTCCTTTTTATGTTCAGTGGAGAGCAAGAAAACTCCTTTTTATGTTGGACAATGGTGAAGCGAAATAAATAATAGCATTTTCCTAATCATAATTTAGTGAACAATTATATTAAAAGGTATCAATAAATATTTGGCAAAAGGAGAATCTATAATTTAATAAATTGGGAAAATTTGCTTCTTCATCTACCCTTTTCTCAGAAAGTATAAGGTACTTAATGTATCAGAACACACGCATGATTATTTAAAAGTTCTCAGAACTTTTGCTTGTATTGCTGTTTTTGGCTGGGATGCCCCTCACCTTTTTTTTTTTCTCCCATGGAGAACAATGACACAAGATTTGAAAATGCAGAAATTAGTACAGTACTGTTCTAAATTGCACACATGAGTCTCAAGTCTCAGTGAAACTGATCAAGGAGACAGGACAGGACAGTTTCCAGCCAGTACCAAAATCACTGACAGGAGTCGTGGAGATGGGAGATGAGCTGCGGGTCTGCATTAGAAATCAGCAACCAAAAGGCTAAGGATGGTGGTGGCCCTCACATGCCCAGGGCTTTGTCTAGAAGTCACCAGGGCTGTTAAATGGGATTCTAAGGCAGAGAACTCAGAGGAATGAGAGTGTAGGGACCACAGCAGGACCTTCGCACTCACAAAAGAAGGAACATATTCTCCAACAAGGAACTCTGTGAGAGTTAAGGTATATCAAGCAGATTGCTAGCACTAAACACATGAACTGATAATTCTAAGACTGCCTCGGACACAGAGATGGCCAGCCATGGACCCCATTCTTTCATTCCTCTTCTGCTCCCAGCATTCATGCTGAGGCGCAGTTACCCCATCAAACTAGCAAATGGAAAAAGACCCCTGCTTTCTCTGATTCTTAAAATATTCTACTTCGCTGGTACCGATAAAAAGGAAAAAGACAAAAAAAAAATATTCTACTTCCATGAGATTTATCAAGAGGCATTTAGGATACATAAGAGTCCATGACTTAATTGATGGGTTGGCACAAAAAATTGACAAGCAACAAATTTACAGGTTAATACTTTATTTCTGTGAGGAGAGGGAAGGGACAGAATATGCAGAAAATAGCCTTTAAATAAATGCTCTTTTAATAAATTATAAATCTGCTTTCTTTTGCTTACACACAAGAACTCAAAAGCCATACACGTGATGGTCAGAAATACTGTATTGTAGTCTGGTTTGTGTCAGCAAAGCAGAAGAGCACAGTATGTACAGCAAATGAACAAAACTGGACTTTTGGGATAGTTTTATGTCCTCCTAATTCTGGTCCCAACACAATTGAAGGGCTAGCCATCTCTGAAGCCTTTTTTATGCCAAATGTAAAAATTTGGATCATTAAATAACACATCAGTCTGTGTAGCAGTGTCATCTCTTTTCCATTCATCTTGCCTTTCCATGTGAATGGAACCCCAGCAGCCATTCACAAGAGTCCCAGGTCAGCTCTTGCTGACAAAGCTCTGCCCTTAGGGACACCAGAGGGATAAGTGCTGGGCTCACAAGAAGAAATGTTCTTCTTGTGTTTTTGTTTTTCTTTTTCAAGCAAAGTGGAGAAGTCATAGAAAGATGAGGAACTGCATCTTTACCTTGGAAACAGGGAGGGTTTTCTTAGTGATGTTAGCAGTATACTGGTGGTGGTGGTGGTGGTTGTGTGTGTGTGTGTGTGTGTGTGTGTGTGTGTGTGTGTGTGTGTTTAGCAAAGGCCTTGGCTTCTGATAGAAAAGTCTACAAAGAACTACAGATGTAGAGAGGTAGTCTCAGGTTAAGCCCCACATGGCGTAAGTTGGAAGTAAGTTGCCCAGTTCAATACCACTAACATTGCAGTTTAAATACATGGCCTTGAGCTCTGTGAAACACCATTCACAAAGTCTGTCATATGCATGATGCCCCTGCAGTTGGATAGTGAAGGCCTGAGCAGAACTAAACCAAGCCATGCAATTATCTTATGAGATCTTCAACTGGTAAAATTAACAGGGCCAACCAAGAAATAACCTCTTTGAATAGTATGCGAAAAGGTACACACTCATCATCTCTATAACTAGGCAGTACTTAAAATGAGAGAAGATGGGGAGAAAAATGAGCCAGATAATACTGCCAAGTTAGGACCCTCCCTAGAGAAAATGAAGCACTTTCTTCAACCAATCTATGCATTGTTAGAACATTTCTCATTATCTTCTTACAGTGTAGGCTAAAGACTAATAGTTGTGGGTCACTATTTTCCTTTAAAAATAAGTTTAACCTCTGTCCTCTTTTAGGAGCAAAGTAGATGATAGCTATGACTTAGTACGGCCTCCAACAATCCAGACTGCTCTGCAAGTAGCAGCTTGTGCAGGCACTAATGTGGCTCAGAGGAGTCATAATTCTCATGGTATGTGTGCTTAGACAAAATCGTATAATTATTTATCTTTTTATAATATAGCCATGAGTGAAGAAGCATGTCTACAAGGCTGTTGGCTCACATCCCTGGTTTGGGGAGGTTTTGTTTGTATTAAATGGGAGTTGAACCCAGGGTCTTTGCACTAAGCCACATCCCTAGCCCTCTGGTTTTTGTTTGTTTTTTGTCTTTTTGAGGCAGGGTCTTGCTATACAGTTCAGGCTGGCCTAGAACTTGTAGCAATTCTGCCTAAGCCTCCCAAGTGCTGGGATAACAGGTGTGTACGATCACACCTGGCCAATACTTTTTTTAAAAAAATTTGAGGCAGAGTCTCACTAAGTTACTAAATTGCCTGAAATAAAACCTGGGACCTCCTGCCTCAGTCTTCCAGAGTGCTGGGTTTACAGGTGTGCACCACCTTGCCTGGATACCTCCTGGTGTTTGTTCAGCTCTATCCCAAATTCTTAGTTGTAATTTGAAGCACACCTTGAGTTTTCAAATATAAGTGCCTGAACATGCACACACATTTCTCTGTGGCAGTGCTGCTCCTGAGACACATGACCACATGAGACACAGGGAGGATGGACTTTGACAGAAAGCAGGACAAGCTATTAAGGTCTTGGACATCAAGTCCTACCCAGGAGACTTCAGGGGAAGGTTCATGCAGCTCAGAAACCTGCACAGGCCTCTGCAGGGGGTGATAGCACATTGCCCGCATTGCATCTGGCTGTTGCTTTCCTGTGCTCAGGCGCTGTCTCCAGTCATGTTTGTGAGATACTGTCTTTGAATTTAGATATTTATTTAACATAAAGGAAGGAGAAAGGACAAGAATTGATGTTTTTAATACCCATTTGCCAGCACTGGTTAAAGTGATGTATTTCTATTAACTTATTCTATTCTTTGCTCTGCTATATTACATAGGTATTGTCCCCCCCATTTTATAGAAGAGACCACTGACTCTGAAGGTTTAAATACCTTAGCCTCACTCTCACAACTGGTAGGTGGGAGAGCCAAGACCCAGCTCTTTCCGCCTGGGTTTAGCACCCTGCCTCCCGGTGCCTGTCCTGTATATGAAGAAGTGACTGAAAAAAATTTTGCATTCCTTCAAGCCAGTCCACAACCAGACTTCTTGCTTTTTCTAACTCTTTATTTTTATTTACTTATTTATCTTTTTGAAACAAGGTTTCACTATGCAGTTCAAGCTGGCCTTGAACTCACTTTGTAGTCTAGGCTGACCTCCAACTGGCAATAATTCTCCTGCTTGACCTCCTGAGTCCTGGGATTACAGGCATGTGCCAGCTGCAACCAAACTTCTAAGACTCATTGAAAGAGAATCAGACACAGAGAGGAAGTTGAGAACCACCTTCCTGTTCTCCTCGATGCTAACTATGGGCCGGGGGCTCCTGCTGGACTGACGTCAGTGGGCCTTCGCAGTCTGTTGAGTATTTTACACATTCAGTGCATAGAGCCTGGTGCTCTCTGTGCTCTATTACTACACACAGGTACTCAGCAAGTAGCACCCCTGTATATTCTACCACCTTGCTGCCAGAAAAGAGAGAGTTTGTGATGTGCATAACTTAATCCATCATTCTGAAGGGTCTGCTTGCAGGATATTTATGGCTCAGTGGGGACGAAAAGGCACATGATGCTCACGTGGAAGTAAGCCATAACATGAGCAGTTTTGGGGGTAGATAAAGCAGATTGTAGGCGAGGAAGCCCCACTGAGTCCTGGCCGCACGAGAGAGCCGGGCAGTGGCTTCTAAGCACACAGGCTCGCCAAAGTGTTGGTCAAGCAACACAGCGGTCATCCTTGTCAAGCTCCACACTACTAAACACAGATCCAAAAGAATCTTCAGAATCCCAGAACCTCAGTGGCCACTAGTATTAATAAAGGGATAAGTGGATGAGAGGTTATCTCCACAGGTCACATGGGAGCCACCTCTAATGTCTTGGCTTGAGACTCTCCTCCCTGTGGACTAAGAAAGAAGGGGACATGGGTCCAGGCTCACAGAAGACCACGTCCTCTTACTTGCTGTGAACACACACTCAACAAAAGTGATATAAGAACATCTAGAAGGAAAAGAGAAAAGAGAAGCATTTCTTTTCCCTTCTGTCTCTTTTGCTGTATATCAGAATCTTTATAAACATCGGTTCATTTAATATCCAGTGTAGACACTTACATGGGAAACCTGAGGCTTACAGATAATTTTACAGTTTCTCTGAGACCTAACTGCTGAGAAGAGAAGTCAGAGTTTGAATGCAGATTTGTGTAGTTCCAATGCTTCTGTCAGAAGGTAATTTTCAAATTAAAACTTTGTCCTGTACTCACTACATTTTTTTCCTGAGAACTACGCCAAGGTTTAAATTAATTTACTACTGAAGAGTCAGGAGGCTGACCAGGCTGCTTAGCAGGAGATCTGGAGAAATACACACAGGAAGAGAAAAAAGGAGGGGATGATAATATGTGATGCAGAAATGCTTAACAGCACAGAGAATAATCACAATATAATTTGGGGCAGGGGCTGGGGGTTTAGCTCAGCAGTGTAAGTACTTGCCAGGCAACCACGAAGTCGTGAGTTCAATAATAATTTGGCGAACTGCTTTCTCTATCCATCAAAAATAATTTTCAACTTATCAGTTTCCCTACCAGTTGACAGCGAAGTTTATAGACTCTGACCATTAAATCAGTAGTTTAATCTGATTTTGAAACAAGGTAAATGGACAGTGTTCTAACATGGTGCTGAAAAGATAGGTGGTCATTTTGAGGCCCTATTTCTAAGTTTTGGCTTACTTTCCTTAATTGGCAATAACTAAGTCTCCTTTAAATTGCCTCCATTTCTCTGTGTCTGTGTCTGTCTCTGTGTCTGTGTCTGTCTCTGTCTCTCTGTCCCTCTGTCCGTCTGTCTGTCTGTCTGTCTCTCTCTGTCTCTCTGTCTCTCTCTGTCTCTCTGTCTCTCTCTCTTTCTCTCTCTCTCTCTCTCTCTCTCTCTCTCTCTCTCTCTCTCTCTCTCTCTCTCTTTCCTTCTAACCCACTTCAGCCAGGCAAATGGGTCTGACATTATGAAGTACTTTTTATATTGCAGTGAAATCTGGACCGATTCCTAAAATAATGGGAGACTTGCATGTCCCCAAAGCTCCAGGGCACCTCACAGCTTTCAGGGAACTGGGATGATGGCCACATGTCCTTCTGGCATGGTTCCTGGGCCTAAAAGCTATAAATGGCCAACAGCAGATCTGCAGGCCTCTCTGCCCATCTCTCCTCACCCAACCAATCAGTTACAAATGAGCTGACCAGTGATGGAGACCAGACCCATCTGGAAAACAGCTGGCTAACCAGAACTTATCTGCTAAACTTCACACAGGCAAGAGCCCTCAGAGACTTAGTTCCCTAGTGAATCAATGAAACCTGAACACAGAATCTCACTTGTGCAACCCTGAAATTTCAAGCATCCAAAATCAAGTGCTCCAGGCATCTGAGAGTGACAGCTTCCTGACACAAAGCCATTAAGTAATTTTTTTAAAATTTTATTTTAAAGAGGGTAAAACTAAACAGAACAAAACAGAACAAAGCAGATCAGAAGAAAACAATGTAAGTGACACAGATTTCAAAGCAAGACAACAGGAGATCATCACTGTCTATCATATTGTCTCTTGTTTTCTTCTAAATAGTTGTAGATATCTTTACACACAATGAATTCATACCAAAAAAATCGTATTAAACTGATCAGAACATAGTAAAAAAAGACATTTTAGGCCTTGAAAACCAAACAATAGAAAAACCAACAATGGCTGCCATAATGTCTCTCATTCTTGTCAAAATAGCTGTCCATACCTTCGTGTAGGTTGAAATTAAACAATACAAAACAGACTAAAATCACTCTGAACAAAGAATAATAGTACTGCTGGATTTCACAGATGCTATGGAATCCGCACTGGGTACCATAGTGTCTCTTTTTCTTCAAAGTAGCTGTTCATTTCATCATGCATTATATAATCAATTTTCATAAACTCTTTAGGAGAAGTTCTATGCATGTATAAGTCTCTACATGTACACCTATCTGTATTAGAGGGAAAAACAAAACAAAATAAAACAAATTCCTAGAAAAACATGAAGCAAAAAAGACAAATAAATAACAATAGCAAAGAGCCCCAAACACTGACAATGTAGGCCTTCGAAACAAGGTGGTGTGAGCATATCTGGGGTTGTTATTTTACATAATGATCTTCAACAGCTCCTCAGATCACCATACAATAATATGCACAATTGTTCCAGTCCTGTGAATGTTAACTATTTTTTTCAAGAACTAATAGAATTTGTAGCACAATCATCTTAGCTATACTGTGTTCATATAAATTTTAGATATTTTTTCTTTTCCTTTCCTTTTTTTTCCCCTCATCTTCCCTGAGATATTATTTTTCCCTTTTAAGCAGATTCCTATCCTTTCACTGTATTTATTGAGTTTTTTGTATCTTTTGTACTCTTACCATTTCTTACACTAGGGAGACTATGTGATATTCATACATGTGAGTTTGATTTATTTCACTTATGGGTATGGTCTTGAGTTGCATCCATTTACTTATAAATATCTCAATGTGATCATTCCTTATAGCAGAGTAGTACTCCATTGTATAAAAATACTGCATCTTTTTTTAAAGTTTTATGTAAAGAAGAAAAAAAAGCAAAACAGAAAAAAAGAGTAGTAATAATACAGAATTTCACAAAAAATAAACAGTAAGAAATCACTAGATTATAAATTACATACTGTCATCTTAGAAATAGTTGTTTAAGTTACAAACTTAAAGCATACAAAGTGCACATTCAAACAGTGAGACTGAAAACAGTTCTGCTCAATGATCCAACGAAAACTTAGTAATATGGTCATCTATCTTACACACTTAAACATACATGCCGTTATATCCTTTACAGCACTTTCTTTTCCTCTCTTTTTTACAATAGCAATTACATATTTTGGGTTTTATTACTCCTACAGTTCTTACTGCTTTTTACACTAGAGACACAATGTGATATTTATAAATATGATTCTTATTTCACTTACAAGGCTAGTCTCAAGTTGCCTCCATTTACCTAAGATGGCCTCAAGATCATCCTTTTTTATAGCTGAGTAATATTCCATTGTATAAAAATACCACATCTCTTTCATCCACTCTGTGATTGATGGGCATTTTGGTTGTTTCCAAGATTTAGCTATTACAAATTGTGCTGCTATGAACGTAGGTGCACATATATCACTATGACATGACCTTTTCAGATTTTTTGGGAAAATATGGAAGAGAGGAATAGCTGGATTGAATGAAACTTCAAATCTTAGTCTTCTAAGAAATCTCCATAGTGATTTCCATAGTGGTTGCACCAGTCTACTCTCCAACCAACAATGGAGCAGTGTTCCTTTTTCCCTGCAGCCTTGCCAACATTTGTGATCAGTTGTTTTCTTGATGGCAGCTATTCTTTCTGGAGTGAGATGAAATCTCAATGCTGTTTTAATTTGTATTTCTTGAATGACCAGTGATGGTGAACATTTCTTCATGTATTTATTTGCCATTTGTATATCTTCATCTGAGAAATGTATGTTCATCTCAGAGGGTCTTTGAATTTGGGGGCTCGATATTTTTCAATTCTTTATATGTTCTGGATATAAGTCCTTTGTTTGAGGGGTTGCTGGCTATAATTCTTTCCATTCTGAATACCACATCTTTTTTTATCATTCCTCAGTTGATGAGCATTTAGGTTGTTTCCAAGATCTGACTATTACAAATTGTGCTGCTATAAACACAGTTGTACATAATATCACTGTGGCATGATTTTTTAGTTCTTCTGGGAGTATGCCCAGAAGTGGAATAGCTGGATCAAATGGGACTTCCAATCCCAGCTTTTTGAGGAATCGCTAGACTGACCTCCACAGTGGTTGCACAGTCTACACTCCCACCAACAGTGCAAGAGAGTACCTTTTTCCCCACAGCCTCTCCACCATTTGTTGTTGGTAGTTTTCTTGATCCTGGCCATTCTTTCTGGAATGAGATGGAATCTCAGTGTTGTTTTAATTTGCATTTCTCTAATGACCAATGATGCTGAGCATTTTTTCATGCATTTATTTGCAATTTGTATTTCTTCATTTGAGAACTATGTATTTGTCTCAGATGCCTATTTTTGGATTGGGTCTTTGAATTTTGGGGATGTGATTTTTTAAAATTCTCTATATGTTCTAGAAGTCCTTTATGAGAGACAGTTTACTAAGATTTTGTTTCTCAATTTGTGGGTTTTCTTTTCACTATGCTGGAGGTTTCTTTTGACATGCAAAAACTCTTTAATAAGACATTATCTCAGTTACTGATCCTATGAAGTATTTTGCATGCGATTTGATTCTTGTTCATGAATTCTCTACCTATCCCTATGTCTTCAAGATTTCTACCTACTTTGTCTTCCAACAGATTTAGTGTTTCTGTTTTGCCATCAAGTAAATTCTGATACTTAGTAGCTGTCCAATCACATGGAGATTTGTGAGTATGGTAAATACCCTTGGGGAAACTCGTCAAGTGACTGGAGCATCACAAATATTCCATTAAGCCATGCCACAAGTAGCCCTTGTTTATGAAAACTGCTCATCATAATAAATTCACTGACCGGAGCCGCGGGAGACAGGAGACCAAACTCGAGCAGGATCAGCTCTCAAACTTTATTGCGTACAGCGAACCGGACCTAACAAGGTCCGCCACCCTCAACGTTGGTTCCTCTTCTGCCCGTTGGGGGCAGGAACAACCTCTTATAAGGGGAAGCAGTATCCAATCACAGAGAAGCGCGTCTAACAAGCTGATAGGCTAGCGTCACGGGTAACTGGGCAGACATGACAATTTGGCGGGCTTGTTCAGGCTGGGAAGAACCCGGAAGCAGGAAATGGGCGCCATCATAGGCGGCTTCCCACATCTCCCCCTTTTTTATTTATTAAAATAGGATGGTCTGTGGGTCCCTCCAAGGTGTCTATGACCTTGTTGCTGTTAGACACCTAGGAGTGGGCCTACCTTGTAGGCCGAGGCATGAGAGAATGTAGAGGTCTATACCCTGCTGTGCATCACCCTGTTTTGTGCATATCCTTGCGCCAGGACCATGCTCAAGGTGAGTGGTTCATTTTTTTGCAGGGCCAGGCTTTTGTGAACCGAACCTGGATGCATATAGACATTCATTCCTGCCTTCCCCCCAACCTTTGGGGCGGATGGCACTGCAGTACCCTTGGTCTCGCATCTCAATGCCAATAATTTGACTCCGGGAGGGACCCCTGGCCTTATAGGCCATGTATATCTGAGTGGAGCCTGTCTTAGGTTGACCGGGAGGGCTTTTCCCGTCTTACCTGTCATTGGCTTGCCCACTCAGCTCTTATAGCTGATGTTCTGCAATGTGAAGGAGATATGCGGCGGCCTGCTGGCCTGATGGGCCACCTGCTGCCATTTGCATGGCTGCCATAGCTGTGATCTTAACCTGCTGCTGAGTTTGTATGAGGCGATCTAACAAGCATTTAATAACCACAAGCCCCACTAGGATGGCCACGGCAATCAGGATCCAAGTAGTCAGGTTGGGCCAGGAGAACCCCTGACTGGACCTAGTTGGATACCGTCCATATTGTCAAGTTCCTGACCGACTATGAGGGACAAATTGTGAAACTTAGGTAGGTAGGTGTCTTGCAGCCAAGCTGTCATATTTTTAGCAGTGTTGGTCAAATTTGTGCGAACAGGGGTGATTAATAGGAACCCACAGAATAGAAAAGGCTCCAAACCAGACATTTTAGTTTGTAGATGGTCTCGGGCGCTGAGCGTCGGTCCCAGAAGGGTCGAGTTGACTTGTGTCCGCGGGCTTATCCTCCTGTGCTTTATCAGGAACTGGTGGGGAGTTTACTGCTCGTGTCAATCTTTCCGGGACCCACAGCGGTTCGCAGCCTGGTTCCTGTGGGAAGATACAAACCACACCTCGGGTCCAGCTAACCACTGGATCCGGGCCCATCCATTGTCCTGTAAGGACATCTTTCCATCCCACCAGCCCTTTGTTGGCCGGGGACGGGTTATTGTGCTCCATGGCAGGGGAATGATTATTGTGATTAAGGTTTAAAAAATTTATGGTAAAGAGTGCCAATGATATTCTTCCTTTGGGCGTTAGGCCATGGCCTATCCCCTCTTTTTGCTTTTGTAAGACACCCTTGAGTGTCCGATGTGCCCGTTCAATGATCCTACTCCATGTTGAATACCTCGGAATATGGAGGCTACCGTCGAAGAGGGTTTGATGGGACCTGCCGTCTCCAAAACTTGGAGAGCATTTACCACATATTTGGAGTCTGACAGGAGGTTAACGTCGCCTGGAAAGCGACGTAAGACCTCCTGTATTATCTGGAGCTCGACCACCTGGGGTTGGTCTGGAGTAAATTGGATAGTTTTTGGCTCTTGACCCATAACCACATATGCGCCTATGCCTGATTTGGAGCCATCCGTGAAGATTATTGGAGCTCCAGTTATGGGGTATGCGGATGTAACCTTGGGAAAAATCACAGGGTGTACTGTAATAAACTGAAGTAGTGGGTCTTTTGGGAATTGATTATCTATGGTCCCTTGAAACGTACACCGGAGAATCGCCCAGGAATCTAGACACGTTGTTAAGATCTCAATTTGTTCTCTTGTGTATGGTACATGTAGGGAGGAAGGAGGCACCCCAAAGTGTTGTATGGCTTGTGAGATGCCCTCTAGAGAAAGGGAAGCGACCGCGTCTGGATAATGGTCAATAGCCTTAGCAGGAGACATTTTTGGATGGACCCAAAGCAAGGGTCCCTGTTGCCAAATGACAGCCGTGGGTTGTCTAGCTGTCTTGAGAACGCACACGCAGAAGGCAACCCAGGAAGTAGCTCTCCCTCTAACCAGGGCGGTGCCATAGGTTGTGGGCACCCTCCGGCGGCCACGGGCGGAGGTGGCAGCCCAGGGAGCAACTCCTCTTCCGGCCACGGCGGTGCAGTAGGGCCTGGCGCCCTGAAGGGGGCGACCATGGGTCGCGAGCTTGCCAAGGAGCGGAAGGGCTTAAGCTCCTCCCTTAAGGCGGAGTAGCTTGGGCAGGGTGGTGTTTGGTTCCCCTTTTTATCTTCCCGAGCCCTAAGTTCCTCTTTTAACGGTGTAGGAGGGTCATGCTTAGCAAAGACGACCTCCTCTTCTGAGCCTTCCGAATCCGAATCAGAATTAGAGCCCTGAGGGTCCTCCGGAGACCCACAATCGGCAGTGGCTCCGGGCTCCTCTGAGCATTCCGATCGAGCTCTATCAAAAGCCTGTCGGGCTGTATTAGCGAAGCGAAAGCAAAACAGATGCAAAGGGAAAAGAAAAGAAAAAAAAACCCAGCGTCCACTCGTGTGGCGCTCAAAATCTGTTAGGTGCGTCCACCCAACCCAGGTGACCCAGTACTCACCTGTCCCGGGAACCGCTGTATCTCACGTAGCTGATCAGGGTGAAGAGAAGAGGCGCTCGGGGCCTTCCGTTTTTATTGGGCCAGGTCCTCCGTCGTACCGCAGGTGACAGCAATCGCACCTCCCGGCCGAAGAGGCACGTCGCTGAGTCTTCTTTGAGTCCCCGTACGGGCCACCAGATGACCGGAGCCGCGGGAGACAGGAGACCAAACTCGAGCAGGATCAGCTCTCAAACTTTATTGCGTACAGCGAACCGGACCTAACAAGGTCCGCCACCCTCAACGTTGGTTCCTCTTCTGCCTGTTGGGGGCAGGAACAACCTCTTATAAGGGGAAGCAGTATCCAATCACAGAGAAGCGCGTCTAACAAGCTGATAGGCTAGCGTCACGGGTAACTGGGCAGACATGACAATTTGGCGGGCTTGTTCAGGCCGGGAAGAACCCGGAAGCAGGAAATGGGCGCCATCATAGGCGGCTTCCCACAATTCACCACTCTATCAAGTAGGATTTTCCCATATACAATCCCTCCCTCAAAAGTGTGAACATCTAAGCAGATGATTTGCTGTGTGAATCAGTGCATCTGCAGTGCTAAAGATGCAATCACATGAAACAAGTGAACAGTGGCGCTTATCGTCAGGAGAGACTTTGTGGAAGATTCCATTCTGTTCAAACACGGTGATGGAGGGAAGGACATAAGCCCTATCTGTCTAATGAACATGGGCCTCAAACAAATTTCAGGAAATAAATGAAAATGCCATTACCTCATGCAAACTTTTATCTATTCCCTACACCCTTCAAGGACCTCAAAGTGACTTTTTGTATTCTACTATGTAGATGCAGAGGGAGTTTGGGTTAGTCACTCACACATTAGCAAAGATGAATAATGATAATATCATTTTCAGCATAATAACTTCATCCAATCCACATTGTGGAGGACGGTGGTATTTGTTTTGCTCTAAAAAAAGAAAAGAACTTTTCCCTTAACTTAAAACCAATGTATCCTTAAAAAACTATTAATAAAGTACAACTGTGAATGGCCAATTGGGACTCACAGCATCACTAAAGAGTGTGTGACCATAATGAAGGAAATTTCCAGGCAGAAAGGGAGTTTGGTCCTTGGTTTAAATGATAGAGTAGATGTCGACCTTTGCAAGCAGTTTTCTGACTTTGGAGTGGACTTGCATTTCCTATTTTAGCTGCATCTCAGGACTCTATGAGGCCTTCAGTAACTCCTAAAACCCTCTTAGGCCTATTTCTTTCTTGATGAAATCTGCATATCCTGTCCTACATGAATGCTTTTCACTATAAGTCGAGTTTGGAGGCAGAGTCAACCTCTACACACAGTCCACTGTGGGTCTAGAAGTGAAAATGACCAAGTTTCACTGGGCTGTTTTTGCCTTGTCTCACACCCAGCTTGCTAGGTGTTGGTCAGATTCATATAAAATAGTAACAACCATTTCCAAAAGATCACTTAGGCTAAGCAGAAGGCTTCTGCATTGTTGTGGGCTGTCAAACTCAGTACTTTGTGCTTGTGTTCTGAGATCCAGATTTGAATTTTGGTTCCAGCCACTATTAGCTTTGTGAAGCTGGCAGTGTCTTGACCTCTGAATTCTTTTAATGTTGTTTTTAAGATTGAGTAAGATAATGTGTGTAAAAGACCACACTGTGATGTTTGACCAGTCAATGCCATTTACTGAGCACGTATTATTATATAGTGCACTGCCAGTTATAGAATTGCTACTGTGCATTAAATGGAGAGAAAGAATTTCAGTTCAGAGAGGGGACCCGTAGGTGGACGATCACAGCAAGATATGCAAATTCATGGCCTGCAAGTGAGCATAGAGTTCCATAGGAACACAGAAAAGCCACCCCGCCTGGCTTCAGGACACCAGAGTAAGATTCCTGGAGGAAGGGACACTATCCTTAGATCAGACGAGGATCAGGTGTAATTCTCATTGAGGAAACCAAGCTGTGAGGCTGTTTACCTGCCTGAGGATAGTAGGATTCAAGCCCCCACAGAGTATGGAGATGTAGTCATTCATTACTGGAGCTCCAAATGCTGGAGAGGCCATATCAGGAAAAGTCATGCTATGTATGTGTACATGTGTGTTCAAAACAACTTTCCAAAGAGGAATAATTCAATTTGCCAAGGGTATTTTTACCTCTTGTAAAGCCCATACAGAGAAATTACCTTTCTTTTCCATGGCTTAATTTTTTTCAGTTCTTATTACCATCACTGTCGTCATTGTCCCCATCTTTGTCATCATTGTTGTGATCTATTTCAGGTGCTTTACTGGGGGGACAGGGAAGTGGGCAAAGCCACAGCTAGAGATGAAAAGTCACACATGGACATCACTCTGTGAGGGACAGAATGGACATTAAATGATGCTCCTCTCCCCATCCTCACTCCATAAGCCTCCTCCTCCCATCCCTAGCTTTTCATTCTTAGCCAAGCATTGAAAGTTAAAGCTTGGAGGATTTAGCTCAGCAGCGTAAGCACCTGCCTGACAAGCATGAGGTCGTGAGTTGATCCCCAGTACGGAAAAAAAAAAAAGAAAGAAAGAAAGAAAGTTAGATTCTACCATCAATGCTTTGGCCAAGAGGATGAGTCTTTGGACCCATAGAAGTGTGCTTACCACTGAAATTCACTGTATAGTCACCCTAGAGACAGTCTTCCATGGATCCCCCATATAACAAGCATCCTGGGACATCTGGTGAAAACAGGCCCTAAACACTTACCTATTTACCTCCCATCTTGCCAAATGATTAGGTCCACAATCTAGTGTTTTACCTAGAAACTTCCTTAAAATCCAGCAATAGTTATTTAAATGATTGCTTCCAGGTGTTATGACCTCCAATGAAAGCAGACAGTAAGGGCAGAGCTATAAAAAATATCCTCTGCCTGTTAGCACATCCTCCAACTCTTAGAGATGTGATAAGCAATTCTATACAGAATGGGGGTGACCAATAGACACATTTTTCAATTTTTGTCACAAAGGTGCTCACCACTAGCAAGTCTTGGGTCAGTATTCCTCCAGCTGGTTCATCTTGAGATAGGGGCCTTGCCTGATCCACAAGACAGGGTTTTGGGGGATGCCAGTGCCTTCACAGAGGGCTGATGGGTGACAAAGGACTAAGACATCAGTTACCTCTTTCAGCCATGCCTCTCTTACCCTGTTCCCTGCAGGAGTGGCCGGGCTGACCTTGTGGCCATATACCATGAGCGCATCGATGTGGAGGGCCACCATTATGGCCCTTCCTCGCCCCAGAGAAAAGACGCCCTCAGAGCTGTGGACACTGTCCTGAAGTACATGACACAGTGGATCCAGGTGACTTAAGCAAGGACTACAAGCTTGCCACTCTTTCTTGTTACTTTTGTGTTCTCCTTAACCACCTCTCGCCAGCACCTTCCTTCTCTTCTTCACGCAACACTTCCATCATTACCAAGTGATGGAGCATCCTAGAGCCCCAGTGAGGGCAGGGGGCCAAGGAGAGGTTGAAATGACCTTCAGGTGCATCATTACCTGACCCAGTCGGAAGCTGACCCAGTCCTTAAGAATCCTAACAAACCTGCTTGACTGGAGAGGGGAATAGACATGGGACCCAGTTGACTGACTAAATGCAGGTTTTGTTTCTTTGTTATTTTGTTTCCATTTTTTGTTTTTATTTTACTTTCCTCTTTTTTTATTTTTTTACATCTATCATATGAACAAACAAGAGTGCTCATACAACCACGCAAGTTGGTTAAAAATGTAAAAGAAAATAAAAAGCAAAGAATGTGGTTTGCAAAGGTAAAGGCCTGGTCTTATTTTTCTGCACATATTGGGAAGGTAGGATTCCCCTCCCAAAGTGCTTTTGCCATGATTCTGAGCCGCTTCTCGTCAGGGAAGATGGTAGGTGATTAAATTCAAAATCGAGAAAATCTCTCTTCTCCCATCATTTGCAGTCTAAAGACACCTCAGTGCAAGACAGCCTGCCTCAGTGGGTGCTGAAGCACTGCCTTTGCTCTCCCTCCAGGAACGCGGCCTGCAGGACCGCCTGAACGTGCTCATTTTCTCAGATCATGGAATGACGGACATTTTCTGGATGGACAAAGTGATCGAGCTGAACAAGTACATCAGCTTGAAAGACCTGCAGCAAGTGAAAGACAGAGGGCCTGTCGTGAGCCTGTGGCCAGCCCCGGGGAAACACTCTGAGGCAAGAAATGTCTTGGTGGGGGACTGACCTCGTTTGCCTCGGCCGTCCCATTATCCTGGTCATGTCACTGTGTAGAGCAGCAGTAGAAGCTTGCATTCATTTTCCCTGACTCTGGTCTTCTCTATAACAGTATCTATCTTTACTGATTTTTTGTTGTTGTTGTTGTTGGCGCTGGGAATTGAATTCAGGACCTTTGCCCTGAGCTGCATACCCAGCCCTTTCCTATTTTGAGACAGGCTTGCTGTGTTGCCCAGGCTGGATATGCATTCTTGAGTTCTCCTGCTTCAGCATCCCAGAGTGCTGGGATTACAAGTGTGCACCGCCACACTCAGCTACCCCACTGAATTTTATGAAAATCAAATGAGATAAAAGATGCCCAATGAGTAGTACGTGCCCAACATATGAAAGCAAGCTCGTATTAGAGCTGTTTTATTAGCCAAGGTATAGTACTGCTTAGGTAAACGAGGGGACCATCAGAGGCAGACACTGAATGCTCTTTTTTTGTAAAGAAGCTGGCAGTCTGATTTGTTCCTATGTATTTCTAAGCCAAGCATTGCCCTGGAGATGGAAGTGATGAATGAATGGAGGGAGCTGAGGCCAGTGTGCAGCGGGCCAACTCCTTACCTCGGGAGCCACGCCCCTTGTGGTGAGATCTCAGCTAAAACCAGAAAGACACCACCTGGGGCCCCTCTGCTTCTTCCTGTATGAGTGGTGAGATGAACTCACAGCTGCCCCCAGCTGCTGTAGAGCACACAGAATCATGCTGGGCCCACTGAACAGACTATGCATGTGTCACTTATTGTGACAAACACTGCCAAAGGAGAACGTCCCCATTAGGGCATGGTTGAGTCCAGATAGAAGGAACTCAGCACCCAGGGTTAATTAGGCCACTATTTACTATTCTTTCAAAATAATGGCATAGCTGGAAGCACGTGGTGAGCCATATAGAGGAACTAGGAAAGGACAAGTGGCACCTTGGGCTTCCTGCTGAGCTTTCAAGCTGCCTTGTCACCTGCCAGTTCAGGCTGTATAACTTCTGCCCACTCTCAGATCTGGAGCAGGAAGCAACGTTTTTTTTCTCAGAGGAGTTGAGGCTGCTGATAATGGAGGTTCCAGTCATGGGGAGCCAGGAAGAGGCCACCATCCGTCCTCATGGCAGGCATACACTTGGCTCTAGATACTTGTCATTGTCAGTGGACCCCTGATGGAGGCCGAATTCCATTTCTACCCCTGAGAGAAACCTTCCCTGACTGCTGTCATACAAGAGTCATGTAATTGCCACTGTTCCCACCTTGCTCCTTTCCAGGAGACGCTTCTTCATTCTCAGGCTCCAGGTTAGAAAGTGGAGGTGCTGAAAATATTTACACAGTATCCCCAATGGACTCCCTAAAAATGAAGTCAGGAAGAATATTTTATGTGTTGGCAGATTCATGAGAAGCTCTGTTTCCTTGGCAAGGAATATCATCTTTGTCTCCAACTTGGCACTGAGGACCGTGCTGCCTCCAGAATGCTTGGGCACCCGCAGCCCACAGGCTGGGATGGCTCCTTCCAACATGATGTTTAAGTCAAGCATTGCGCACAGCCTATGGCAGTTGGTAGATGGCTCAAAAAGAGGGTTCTGTTTGGGTGACAGTTTGCATGTAATGGACAACAGTCTGTGAGACCTGTTGTGTTTTCACCAGATTTTTCATTTATCTAAAATCTTTCTGCAGATGCACCCTACTTGCCTTAAGAACTCTGGACCTTCTTAAGAGGGAAATCTTAACTCATGGACCTACGAGAAACCTTCTACTAAACAATCTAAAGACAAATTGCTTTTCACAAGCAACTTGATACATTCAGTGTTACTTTCAGTTATACCTAAGACCATATGATTTGACTAAAGGCCAGCCGCCAGCAAGTCCACATCAATCAGTTGATTTTAATTTTAGCCACATGCTCAAGCAGCTGCTAACTGTTAGAAGGATGTATAAAGCTTACATCTTTGTCATAAATTAACAATACAGTTAATAAACAATTACTAGTACTTTCAAGATTCACGTGCAGGCAAGACATACTCTCTAGGACAAGTTAATCAACGTTGTTTTGCTTTGACCTTTGTAGTATTTAACACCAGGCAGGCCAATTTCTCACTTGCTTTTTTATTTTGGTATAGTACCTTTCACATAAATATATTTCTGCAATATGTTCATTAGCGATTGGATATATACAAGAGAATTAGTATAGTGTTTGTGAAGTATGGAAGATAATATTGCAACAGTCGCCTGATGTTCACCAAAAAGTTAAGAAGTAGAATATGGCCATTACCCGGGATCTCTTCTGTTTGTCCTCCCCAGATCCCATAAACTTTGCAGCCATCTATGAAAAACACACTCTCCTACATTTTAGGCTTTCATTTTCATAATTCTCCTTATAGTTTTAATACATAATGTCTTATTTTGTAGTTACTTGAACTTTATATAATAGCAATAGTCCCACCTGTATTTTTCAGCAATCTACATTATTTTTCCTCCACCAGAGATCTCTAATATTCTTCTAAATGTCTTGTAGCTGTGATCCACTCATCTTGTCTGCAGTACAGTATTCTATTAAAGAGTCCCTCCCGTATTTCTTTACCTTTTGTACTATATTGAGCACCTGAGCTGTTCTGTATGACTACGACTTCATATGTTTGAGGGATTTTCGCTATATTCCTAGGAGTTGGGTCAGAGAATAAGAATCTCCAGCCTTAGATAAAACTAGCTTGTTTTCTGAACTACTCAAAAGTCTTTTACTTTTTGTAGTCAAATCTACCGGATTTTGGTAAAATTTTTTTGATCCTCAACATACTTTCTTAAAAAAGTATAAAATTGGCCATTCTTGGTTTCCTTTTCAGATTTATAACAAACTGAGCAGAGTGCAACACATGACTGTCTATGAGAAAGAAGCCATACCGAGCAGGTTCTATTACAAGAAAGGGAAATTTGTCTCTCCCTTGACTTTGGTGGCAGATGAAGGCTGGTTCATCACAGAGGTAACTATAAAATGTGTGACAATTGGTTCATTATACAAACTCTATCACATAGTCCAGAGACAAATAATAATCATTCAGCTTCTCTACCTAAGACATTTTTTCTCACCTAGGTGTCACTTATTGTCTTTAGGGAATTAAAAAGGCTTGATCAGGTGTCTTTGTAGACATAAATCCAGAGTCACAGTTTAGACTCCATGGCTCCACAATTCCTGTGTTTCAACAAACAAAGAGGCCTTAACTCAGTTACCCAGGCTTACAATGGAAACTGTTCAGTTGCAAGCAGAATAATTACTGTGAACCAAAGCAATTGCCTTAGGGCAGTGAAAAGCAAGGAGAGACTCAACTCTGCTTTCACCTCTAAGAGAAATGTTTGGCAAACAGAACTCCTTCCATCCAGGTTCCCATTTTGCCAGCTTGATTTTACAAGGGAGATTACCTTGCATTTCTGACCCAAACCTCAATTGCCTCAAGGCCTGAATAACTCCACAGCATCCTCCTTGTCTGCCTGGACAGGAGATCATCGGGCTCTGGAATCTTAGGATTTGGAGCCAGGACAGAAGCTCCGCCTTCAGGGGAATCTGTGGTCAGGCCCATCTAGAATCTATTCTTGACGAGGCTGTGAGTTACTTTAGAGGAGTTTCAAGGTAAGTTGCACTTCGATCACACTACTAGAAAAATACATCAATAAAAAGAGCCTCAGGTAAGAGTACTTGGTTGAGGCAAACATGTATAAGACATAAGACTAGTTGGTAAGTCACCTGACAGAGAGCAGGTGGTCACTAAAGGCATACTGGTGGGTGGGCAGCAACCTGGACATGGAAAACTGGGGGCTGTAGGACTAAATTTCAGTCCTCCGGTAGGACTGAGCCATTCCTTTGTGCTCTCAGATGAATGGAGGCATCTCATCACTGAGGGACTATGAATGAAGCAGATCTAGGCAAAAATGTCAGCAGCAGAGGCCACCTAACCCTTCAGGGGCAAACCGTGCCTCCTTCCGCCATGCAATTTAACAGGTGTCCAAGAAGGTCACTTCGGCCATGAATGCTCACTCCTCCAAAATCCAAAAGGCTTCTCCCTTGAACCCTGGTCCAAGCTCACTCAGAGAGAGATTATTAGGCTCCTGCAGGGCTGTTTAACATGATATCCTTGGGGCCTCGCACTGAACACTCGGGCATCCACTGTGCCACCTGAGTACACCCTCTCCAACTTGGGTCTGTAAAGCTGGCCTTCCAAGTTCAACACAAAGCTTGCGGTTTTAATTTCTTTCTTTTTATAACATTCAAGTGGAATTACACTGAATTTTAAAGAGTAAACGGAGTATGAGGAGGAAGCTACAGTTAGTTTCCCGCCGTGTCTTTTCATGACTATGTATGTGTCTGTTGTTTGCTTTCTCATATTTGGCTGAAGCAACTACATCAAGAGTTGATTCATGGTAGGGAGGGAGATGGTGAAATGCAGTGCGACTTGGGGTATTTTGATGGGCCACAGGCTTAGGTAAGGCAGTGGCAAGCCAAAGGTCACCATGAGATGCCCTACCCACTGTGGTGGGAAAGGCCTTGGGTCCTTCCAGGAAGGCCAAGAGCACTGATGAAGCGGCTCCAGGCAGTACCGAAGTCATTCTAGCTGAGGCACATCCAGCAAGATGCACATCTTCCCAATGGACCAAGAAACAGTGATGGGAGACCTCAGGGTACTGGCTAAGATGCTCTTGGTATAAATAGTAGACCATTTAAATAATGGCTTGAATATTTAAGATTTACTGTCTCACTTAACTGGTGGTGTAGAGGCAGGCAGTCCCAGAGCTACTTAATCCAGCATTTTAATGATAGCGAGTCCCAGCGTCCAAGGTACAGCAATTTATTTGCCATTCATTTTAAAGTCACAAAATGCCTGCTGCAGCTCCAAGCATCACATTCTCTCAGAGCACCTCAAAGCTGGAAATGTTTGTATTTCTCTGTGTATGTCTCCTATTTTTATCAGGGAGCAAGATGTATATCTTAGAAAACGTGTATCCTGCTATGCAAGCAAGTTTTCTGGGACTCTGAAGATTATAAGCTTTAGATAAAGGAGGCTTTCTCTTCATGAAAGAGAGAATAATTACAAAGGCAGAATTAGGGACTTAGAAGGAGCCCACACACCTGACCAGGGCGAATAGTAAATGTTTCGCCAGTGCTGCAAATCTGCTTCTGCCTGGGAGCCACTAGCAGCTTCCCTGTGGCTGGGGCATCCTGCAGTGCTGGGTGCTGAAACCTGAGCTGTGCGGAAATGCAGCCCCCAGGGTTGCCTTCAGGACGGAGCGCAGAGGCTGGGAGTTAGGTAGACAGGACTGATGGAGAAGCGGGGTGAGAGAGCGAAGAGAAGCCCTCTTCCATCTGATGCAGCGCGATGGCCTCTTGGGGAGGTCCGGGACGAGTCCGGGGTTGCAGCGGCCTCTGGCCTCCGCTGTTTCCCCTCTCACGGGCACCCCCCCCCCACGCCCTCCTCACATTCCTCCTCTGCGGAAAGCTGGCAGATCCCTGTCTTCCGTGGGTGCAGCCATATGGCGATTGTACATATTGTTATTTATTACTCGTGTGTGTGCTGCACACACCCATATGTTCCTCTGAGTAAACTGAAACTAACAGTAAATCAGTTAGCAAGGATTCCCCAGTATTTATGCCACAGCTTATGAAGGGACAATCCCACAGGACAGAAAGGAAAACTGTCCAACCTCTGACAGGAAAGCAGCTTTTCAAAGACGTAATCGTTTCAAAAGGGAGCCTTGAGGTAACTTCAAAGATATGTGAAACATAAAGAGAAAGAAAGAAAGGAAAAGAAAGGCAGGAAGGAAGTAGGAAGGTAGGAAGGAGGCAGGGAGGAAGGGAAATGATGCTAATCTCTGAAGAAAGAAGATTGCAAATTAGAGCCCATCCCAGGCAACTTAGAGACCCTCAAAATAATACATACATACATACATACAGGGCTGGGGATATGTTCAGTGCAAAGACCCTGAGTTCCAGCCCCAGTACCACAAAAGAAAAAAAGAAAGGAAGGGAAAAGGAAAGGAAGGGGAGGGGAGGGGAGGGAAGGAGGCCCCCACAATATAATTGAGATATACAAAATAAGATTAGTTCTGAAAGATTAGTATTCACTCATACAGAGACTATGGATGATGCCTCACAATTTATGTTCTTATTATTTGAAAAAAGTAATAGTCTGCCTTGCAAGGAGGTGGTCGTGAGTTTGATCCCCAGTACTGATAAAAAAAAAAGTATTAGTACGTGTTTGCAATACACAGTAGTTACATCCATTGTCAAGAGTTGGTGCAGGTACATTGCACACCTTCATTTTTAAATCCCCCTTCTCTTTTTCTCCCTCGCCCTTCCTTTTATCTCTTGGTCTCCTGCCCATTTGCAAAAGATCTATCTTCCTGTTTCCTATTATTGATCTTTTACTTTGTTCTTTAAATTACTTATACTTTTGGCTTCTCATATAAGAGAAACCACACAACATCTAAGCTTGTCTTGCACTCTTAATTGGTAATGATGAGTGCTGCAAAACCAGGTCCCATGATCCAGCCTGGATCCTCAGAAACTTTACAAGCGCCCCCTTCTTGGAAGTTTCGATGAATTGCACATGAAGCTATTTTACACTTTGCACATAAGAAATGTATCAAAAAATTTTTCCTTTAAATTTTGGAATTTAATAAAAATAATAATAGCTATCTTGAGTTAAATACTTTCTGGTTACTATTTCTAATATTCTCCATGACTCTGCATTGTGGCTATTATTAATTGTGAAAGTATTATATTGGAACAGAAAATGAAACCCAAATGTAGTTCAGATTCTTAGCAGCCAACTCAGAGAAAAAAGTGCTATCAATTTCATTAATGTAACTGATGGTGTCTGTGACATATGAACACATTGTTTCTCTGGACAATCATAATTGTCCCCAAGTCTCTTTTAGTCACTCTTTTTTGTACCTTAGTTTCCTAGCCTGATTATCATGAATCTATATCTTACTCCTATTCTTAAATTTAAGAACTTTTACTTTTAAAACAGCATATGTAAAACTTACAGTTTCTGATTCTGCTTCAATATAACACTGGGGATTTATTTATTTGTTTATTAGTTTTCTAAAAAATCATAAAACCAAATTCTCTTCTTTTCTTATTGGCTTAGGCTTTTTTTCTCGCATGGTTCTATTGTTTATTGTAGTTTCTTGACTACAATAAATTGAAAGCTGTGTTCTATATCCTTGTTCCTGCTCTGTGCCAGGCCTATTAATCTCTCACATTCTTATTTGTAAAACTTTCCCCCAAATCATAAAAAACATTTTATTTTGCTCTCTAAAGTACATACCAATCCACAATGCGTGTGATGATGCTCTTGTGCTGGATCGTACTTCATATCTACAGTGGGGTCAATTCTCAGCCCCAGAACATCTCTCTGGGTCTGGGTTGAGTGGCGGATGAGTCTGTTTCTGGTTTTGACATGATTAGGAAAACAGCTGAGTCAAGCCAAATTGATGCAGGACAGGGGCCAAGGCCACCCCCTGCACTCTTCCTTCCCAGAGCTACCTTTCCATAAACAAGAAAGACTCCGTGTCTTTGGTAAAAAGATAATTCTCATATAAACACCAACCTTCTGCCACCGTTTTAGGTTTTTCAGACTCTACGGCAGCTGTTCTAACAAGAAGACTTAACCAACTTCATTTCTGCTGAGAGAGCAGTCACTAATAAGGATAAAGACAGGGAAGCAGATTTAATTTGTCACCTGGAATTGCACCAGTAGCCAGTGTGACTGCTGGCACCGCCATAGAAAAGCAAGCTTCTCACCCGGTGCCTCCAGCTTGCTTCTGTTCCTGCACAATTTAATGTGCAGGTGGGATTTCCAACTGCTGCCAGTCCTTCCTTTGGTCCCCCTCCTTGAAAGGGCAAGAAATCTGAAGGTGTTTCTGTTTGCAGAAGATTAGTCACAAACAGGAAACAACAACAATAATAAATAACAACAGGCAACCA